TGCCATAAGTGAAGTCAGTGCTCAAGGTAAATCGAATATTACTACTCGATTTAAAAAGAAATGATCTGTTGAAGAGCAATTGTGCGATTCTTTTAATACTATAAAAATGAATTATTTGAAAAAATTAACTCAAAATTTAGCACATTACATGATGAAATGAATTTGCTCAAACAACAAACCTTGGATATAGGTATGTGAAACCATTAAATTCATGTCTGAGAATTTTGAATATTTAAAAGTAAAAATAAACTACTTGGAGAAAGAAAGAAAAGAAAATAAGAATTACATCAAGGAAGTGGAAGCAAGGCTAGAAGCTTTTGATAAGGTTAGTAAAAGCACAACTATTGAAATAAGGAACATACCAAAAAAACAAGGCGAGACAAACCATGATCTGCGTGGTCTAACGCAATCCATCTCTAAAGCTCTTGGTGTTGATGTTCTAACATCAGAAATCCACGACGCATATGGGGTAAATAGAAAATCAAATGCTAGCCCCCCAATATTGGTAAAGTTTAACACCACTTTTGGTAAAGAAGAATTTATTAAGAAAGCAAAGAAATTTAATAAAGAACATCCCGGAAAACTTAACACTCAGTTGTTACATCTCCTATATCCAACAGCTCAGATACTCGTATATGTATCTGAAAGTCTTACAGCAAAAACAAGAAGTCTTTTTTTGCTTACCAGAGATTATGCTAAAACAAGCAGATATGACTATTGCTGACATTCTTATGGCAAATATTTTCTTCGTAAAAAAAAAGAGGGTGCACCTCATATTCTCATTAAAAATGACAATCATTTGGACGACCTTCGAAACCACTCTTGAATTAAGAAGAATAATACTGTGTCCTTTTTATTACTATACTATATGCTGGTTAAATATTTTAGTATATATACTTATCATAATATTAGAATTTAATGTACTACTAACTGTATTATGTTACTTATTCACATATCATGCTAATTTTGGTACACACTCTTCACCTTCGATCACAACACACAATACACTTAATTTTTACACACTTCAAAACATATAACTTTATAACGCTATTAGTTCACCATTGCCTATCGCTGAACAAAGAATTTGTTTGATGTCTTCTGATAGTTCCTCCTTGTGTTATTTTACTTTGAGCTTGTGGTCAGTATATCATTATTCTTAAATATAGGTCTTAAAGTTTGCTCTTGTTGTAACAAATAATAACAGTATAATAAATGCTAAAAATCTTACTACCAAATTGGATAGTTATGTGTCAAAAGTGTATCAATGTGATGCGAGTCTTGCACACAATTTTTTGGACAGTTCTGGAAAAAGACTAATAATTATGTGTCATAATATTCGAGCATCGGACATAATCTACCACAAGTTGAAATACTCTTGGCTCGCTTGAAGCTTGATATTAATATTATTGTTTTGACAGAGTGTTGGCTAGGAGCAATTAATCATTTACCGACACTAAATAATTATACCGCATATGGTACTAAAAAGAATAAGTCACAAAATGAAGGAGTTGTTTTTTATATAAAAAGTGATATTATGGCAACTGTACTTGAGCCCCCCGGTTTTGAAGGCAACTGTCTGGTTATTAAGATCGGAAATAAAACTGCAATGATTGCTATCTATCGTCCACCTTCATATCGTTCGTATCAAAATTTTTACAAACTATTAATGACATATTAGAACCGTTGAATAATTTTAATAATATAATTACGGGTGGCATGAACATAAATATAAATACTACAAATTCGAACCCTTACTGTGATGAATATCTTGATCTTATGGCTTATCATGGGTTACTGTCTACAAATTCACTGCCAACAAGATTAAACTCATGTCTGGATCACGTATTTTTACGGTCTAGTTTGAAGGCAATAACTTATACTTAATAACTTAATTAACTATGAAAAAGCCGCATCTAAATTAAATTTGGAAGTACTTAATTCTACATTAAATTGCAATGACGTTAATATCGCCACAAATATGTTAATAAAAGAGCTTCAGAGAGCTATAAACGTATATACTAGTATGAAGAGATAGTTTCCTCTCGCAAGAGAATAAAAGTTTCCTGGATTACTCAAGGGTTACTAAGGTGCATTAGATATAAAGATAAACTACATCGTGATCGTATCGTAAAATCACCCCGATGACATAAATCTTTGTGGTGATTTATTAAAAAAGTTAGGGCAGATTTTGATAAAAATGAATTATATAAAGCCGGGAATGATAATAAAAGAAAGTGGAAAATAGTTAAAAATATAGCTAAACTAAATAGTAATCTAACGCCTTTAAATACTAATCTTCTTAGTTTAAAAGCCAGTCCTGTCGAATCAATTAACTATATTAATGATTATTTTTCCAATATTGAAAAGAAAGTAGCATACAAAATTTCAATAAATTACGTAACGAATGAGTCATCGACAGCGGACTCAAATTTAATAAATCAATATCAATCTTTGGGCATGAGACCCACCGATCCACTGGAAGTTGAGTGTTTATTGAATAATCTTAAATATAATTCTGCACCAGGCTACGATGGCATTTCTAACCAAGTGCTTAAATCTACCAAGCACCTGATAATTCCCTCTATTGTGAACATTTGTAACCTGATTCTTGAATCAGGTGTGTTTCCTGATCAATTCGAGGTTGCTTTGATAACACCCATACACAAAGGTGGAGACAGAAATAGTATCAGTAACTATCGTCCTATTTCTATTCTGCCAGCACTATCTAAAGTTTTAGAACGTTTATTACATAATCGATTAAAATCATATTTTTCTAAATATAACTTAATTTCTGAAAATCGATTTGGTTTTGTAAATTGAAAATCTACTGAAGACGCAGTTTTATCTCTAACAGAGTTCATTGTAAGACATATTGACAGTAATAATAAATGTATAGGAATTTTCCTGGACCTCGCAAAGGCATTCGATACCGTCTCTGTCCCGATACTATTAGCAAATATGGAAAAACTAGGTATCAGGGGTATATCTCTGAAGTTGTTCACAAGTTATCTATCAAATAGATCTCAACTTGTAAGAATTGGAAGCTTAACCAGTGAAAATACCAATAATGACTATGGCGTACCTCAAGGTAGTATACTTGGCCCTACCTTGTTCCTCATATGTGTGAATGATCTATCTGGGCTTAAAATGTGCAGCTGTAAAACGTTGTCTATGCTGATGACAGTTTTACTGTTTCATGCACCCTCCTGGCATGAATGCATTGGTTTAGCACAGATAGGTCTCGATAAGGTTATGTCTTGGCTGAGAATGAATTTGCTAACCTTGAACATTGATAAGACGAAGTACCTTACTTTTATGAAATCTTCGATAGGTCAACATGAAATTGACTCTTATTCTCTGAAAGCACATATGTGTGATAATTCTTCTTCACTTTTGTGTAACTGTCAGACCATAGAGAGAATTAAATCTGTTAAATACTTAGGTGTAACTGTTGATTGCCTTCTAAATTGGCAAGAGCATATTAACAAATTAAAATGTACCATCAGAAAATTTATACCAGTTTTTAAACGTTTAAGACATATTCCAATAATTGCACTACTCAAATCATATATAATGCTCTCTGCCATTCTCTGTTGTCATACTGTATTATTGCTTGGGGAGGCATACAAAAGTTATATTTTGCGCATTGAAAGATCTCAAAGAGCTGTGCTAAAAGTTATGCTTTCTAAACCTTTTAAGTTTCCCACAAGTAATTTGTTCTCTGGAGTAAATGTGCTGACAGTCCGACAGCTATTTATATTAAAATCTGTACTTAAAACACATAAGTACAATAACTGTGACTTTAATTTTATTTCAAAAATTAAGAAGGAAATATCAAATTATACTACCAGAAAAATTTTACACGTTCTATGCCAAAGACAAATAAACTTCTTGGGACCTTCTTCCGACGGTTGCGTTGCACCACTTTGCCAATGACCGCGTCAATGAGGAGTGGTTCCTTGGTTCCACGACCACCGCCCCGACATCCATTTTTAGCGCGTGACATCACCTGATTTAGCTCCAGGTGACGAGTGATTCTCGCGCTCAAAATGGATGTCAGTGTCGTATATATGGTGGGTAGACACGTGATGGAGCGGTATTTGCTCGGGTCTGTGGTATCCTGATCTTTAAGAACCAAGTGAGCGATCCCAGTAGTGAAAGGGCTCGGGAGCGACTTCTGATCGAGAGCCTCTTGAAACTGTCGGGCGAGCACAGCATGACACACTACGAACCCCTTTAGCCAGTAATGATGCAGCCCATCGAGCCCCGGACTTTTCCAGTTCGGGTCCCTACGGATCGCCTCAGCCACGGTTTCAGGCGTTATCGTGACGGGATCCATAGGCGTAAAACTTGCACACTGGATCGCCACAACTTCCATCCAAGGGCCCTCGCTGTTTACAGTCTCTGAATACAGGCCACTCCAAAAGACAGTGTCAGCCTAATCCGGTCCTGGGCCCGCTCCACATACCTCTGGTCGCTCCAATGATTTATAGAGCCTCTTCTGATCACTCCGCAAGAGACGATTTTGGTTGAACCGCCTTGACCTCTCGCTAAATCGACGAATCCGCTTCCCCCAAGTAGCGATTTTTTTGCTTCAGGTCATCTATACGCTCCGTTAGTTTCTGCGTGATATCCGGCTGGGACAAACTAATATTTGTCCCAGCAAACAATGTTCTAACGGTGCGCACAACTCTCGGTCTATTATAACCCGACATGAAGCTTGTCAGTCTGCCGATAAGGGCCCTTGCCTTTGCGATACGGTCCTCGATTCTTTTTCTTCAGGCTGGGATGGCGCTACTTTGTTGACTAGCACGTCCAGCCATGGGAAGTTTGGCGCCAATAATACGGCATACTGCCAGTGTGGCGCCAAAAAGAATTGAGTCCGTCTCGCAAAGGTCCCGGCTGGCTTCCAAATAGGTCACTAGAATTGGGTTAAGAGCCCGCACAACAGCCCGATTTCGCTCGCTTTCCCGCATACCCCTTATGCGGGAAAGTCGCGGTCAATTTTCGAGAGGCATACTGCGCGTTTCCAGCATCGACTCTTCCAATACGCTCCTCATTTTCTCTAGTTCGTGGGAGACCATTCCACCTTCGTCTGAATTAACCACAAATGGAATATTGTCGGCAGCATCCACATATGCAATTTGCTGGGCATCCAGTGGCGCTGCATTCCCAGCCGTAGCATTTCCATTCGATGAGGGAACAGCCTCACGTCGTAGTCGTTCGAGTTTGGCGTCACCAAATATGTTGGAGCGCAGGATGTACCGAACTCGGTCTGCCAGGTTTTGCTCAGTGACGGATAGAGATGGCTCCAGCTCTGCAAAAAAGCGATGCATCCGAGCCCGATACGCCAAACATCCAGTTTCTTCCCCTTTTGCCCTAAAGTACGCCCGCAGTGCGTTTGGGTTCATTAATTGTGACCAAAGCATACGACGTGCTCCACCAGCGGCGGGTGCCACTTGCTGAGCCCGAAAAGACCCAGCCGACACCAAGCCTTCTGGTGGGGATGATGGATGTGGGGGGCTGCTAGGTGGTCTTGCAGCACCCCGCGCTTGGCTGGCGGCCCGCATGCTCTCGCGTCCAGCGCCAGCTCCAGACGCGCCCTGGCGACCACCAGACAGCGGCCCTTTGGGCACTATCTTTTTTTCCATCATCCATGGTTTGGGCGTCCATTCACGGGAGACGCCCAGGCCCGGCACCGTATCGTGTACGGCCATAAGCACAAACGGGCCTTTGCACCTTAAATTCTGCCGAGGCACGGCGCTCACATCTCTCGCAAGGCGCTGACTGATTGTGTTTTGTTCAGTTTTGTCACTTAACTGTTACGTCAGCGGGCAATGGGGTCGTCAATTCCCTACGCCATTTATTATTATTTGTGGTATTAGTAGTGTATTCTCATCTGGTTGGGCTGAATAAATATATAAAAGGAAATGATAAATATACATAAATATATATTTCATATACCAGCACAAATAAATAAGTAATACATAAACAAATAAAAGCCCAACCAGATGGAGGCCCTCGGAAGGGGAGATCAAACGGCCGAGGGTTAGGAGGAGAGGGAGAGAAACCCGCAGACGATGCGGGCGGTATCGAGGAGCACCGTCTTCTGCATTTGAGCCTGGAGCGGTCCGTCACGGAGTCACAAGCCTACTCAGATGACCCGAGAGGCTGACTGGGATTAGCCCGTTTGCAGAAACGACTACAGGAATAATTTCAGTCGGCAAACCACCCTACATGTCAGTCACCTCGTAAGCCAGGTCCAGATATTATGTTAGTTTATCTGTTTCGGCTTTCACGAGGTTCTCGTCATACGGAATGGTAATGTCGACCAAAAACATCCTTGACTATGCCCTCTGCATCAGCACAATATCAAGCTTATTCGCAAGAATAGTCCCATCTGTAATAATGGCCCGGTGCCAGTAGAGCCTGGCGCGGTCATTTTTGAGCACGGCTTCCAGAAAGTGCTTGTAATACCGCAATTTCCGGTCCACGAGACCGTATTTCAAAGCGAGCTCCTGGTGAATAATTCTGGCTACTAGGTTGTGCCTGTGCAGCAACAAGCTCGACAGATGTCGACGGCAGACGGTCTACGGACGGACGACCGTCTTTTATTTCACAGACAAACCCTCTGTTTTCCCGAAGAGGTCACCAAAGCGTAGCCAGTGGAGGGAGGTGACTGTATCTACTAAGGGCTCATGCAGATTCCTGTAGTACCTCCCAAGGAGCTCCTTCTCCTTCCATGCGGTCTCCCGGTCGGAAATGCTCTGCACTGCTGGGTCTTTCCATTGCTCGTTGGCTAAGGATAGAGGGGTAAGTCCTTTATCACAAGAAATGACGCCCTTATAGAATGGATCATCCTATCTCGCCAGGAAGTAATGACGGAGGCTGCACACTTCGCGATTTTGCATGGTGAGCGCTCTCAGAAAACCACGCCCACCATGCTTTCGCGGCAAGTACAGCCTCATTACCGACCATCTCGGATGATGCATCTTATGGGACGTCATGGTAGTGGGGACTTTTCTATCCAGGGCGTTAAGTTCAGTCTGAGTCCACCTGAGTACGCCAAAGGTAACCATGAGGACAGGCATGACCCAGTCGTTATATGCGCGTGCCTTATTCATGCCGGACAAAAGTCTGTTGAGCACTTTGGTCAAGCGTGCATAAAACATGTCGCAAACTGATGTTTCATACAGTAAGTAAAACGTCGTAGAGCGGTACAACGTGTATCCCGGGGCAGATGTGTTTCACCACCGCTATATGCGATATACACGAACGAAATTTCCACGCTGGTCGGTCGCCGCCAAGGGTAGGAAGAAGATATTCAACTAGTTCTATATACCAACGACAGCGCGTATTTTTCCTCCTTTCGTCGAGCAAATATAGCCGCAAATAAAATTCAGTGGCTGCTGGACCTGCTTTGGGGGATGTCTGTTGATGTGGTAAGTCAGCCTCGCTACTGACTAGCCATTTTAGGAAGAACAAATCACCACAGCTCCATTTACGAGATCAGGATGTAGAGTGGAAGACTACCATTATTTATCTTGGATGTCATATCGACCGATCGCTGCGTGCCTTCAGCCAGGCGAAGCATGCGATCCGTCAGCCGAGACTGGCGCGATCACTAATAAGACCATTGCTAACATCCAAGTTTCGCAATAGCAATCTTCAAAACCTACATACGATCAAGGTTAACGTACGCAGCACCAGTCTGGTATACGCTCACCAGTGCCACACACAAAAAGCGGCAAGTCTCAGCCATGGTTTGGTCGCTCCTGTAAAATAGCATCATGCTATAAACAGGAGTGCTACCAAGCCTGGGCTGATGCATCAGCGTCCCGGAATGTAAACACCAGCGCTCTAAAAAAAGAAGTATAATTCCGCCTCTAGGTCCTTCAAAAGAGTCATTGCCAAGGCAAAGTCAGAGCACATAGGCAGAATTGGCGAGAAACTAGTTCGCCTTCCTTCTGGAACCCGTGCATTCCGGTCTCTCGCCAAGGCTATCCAGGGGAACTTCTGTCAGCCATCTCTTCCATCTCTGCACAGGGAGGACGACTCACTGGCCCATACCGCAAAGGAGAAAGCCGATCTTCTAGGCTCTTTCTTTGCGTCTAACTCGACTCTCGATGACGGGGGGAGTACTCCGCCGACCATCCCGCGGTGTGAGTGCTCCATGCCGGAAGTGCACTTCACACAGCGCTCGGTTCGCAAAGCACTCCTCTCCCTGGACATCCACAAGTCGAGTGGGCCTGACGGAATCCCCCCAATTGTGCTGAGGACGTGTGCTCCAGAGTTGGCACCGGTTTTAACGCGTCTTTTCCGGTACTCCTACTCCCTAGGCGTAGTCCCAAAATCATGGAAGACGGCTTACGTCCACCCGATCCCTAAAAAAGGCGACCGCTCTGACCCGTCCAACTACCGGCCAATCGCCATCACCTCCTTGTCCTCCAAAACCATGGAGTCCATTGTAAACTGCCAGCTCATGAAGTACCTTGAAGATCACCAGCTGATTAGTGACCGCCAATACGGTTTTTGCCGTGGTCGGTCAGCTGGTGATCTTCTGGTCTACTACACAGATGGGCGGAGGCAGTAGAGTTCAAGGGGGAGGCATTGGCCGTTAGTTTGGACATTGCGAAGGCCTTCGATCGGGTTTGGCACAAAGCGCTTCTTTCGAAGCTCCCCTTCCTATGGGCTTCCCGAGAAATTGTGCGATTGGATCACCAGCTTTCTTGCAGATCGGAGCACCAAGGTCGTTGTAGACGGTGCAAGCTCCGATTACAAGCCTATTGATGCTGGTGTTCCACAGGGCTGCGTGCTATCGCCAACGTTGTTTCTTCTGCATATCAATGACATGTTGCATACCCGTAACATTCATTGCTATGCAGATGACAGCACTGGTGATGCTCTTTACACCGGCCGAGCCAATATTTCTCGGGAAAACGTCTCCGAGTGCCGGGACAAACTTGTGTCTGAAGTCGAGTCTCTGCTGGACAGAGTCTCGGATTGGAGGCAACTAAGTCTAGTCCAGTTTAACCCCCTGAAGACACAAGTTTGCGCGTTAATCGCTAAAAAGAACCCCTTTGTCGTATCCCCTCAGTTTCAAGGCACTCCCCTTGTTGCCTCAGCCAGTATCGGAATCCTCAGCGTCGACATATCGAGTGACGTGCAGTTTCGTGGTCACTTGGAAGGGGAAGGCCAAATTGGCCTCTAAAAAGCTTGGCGTGCTCAGCAGAGCGGGACAGTATTTCATGCCGGCACACCGCCTGCAACTTTACAAGGCGCAGGTTCGGCCGCACATGGAATACTGTTCCTATCTCTGGGCTGGGGCTCCCCAGTACCAGCTTCTTCCACTTGACCGCATCCAGCGCAGAGCGGCTCGAATCGTCGACGACCGAGTGCTTTCCGATCGGCTCGATTCACTGGCGCTGCGAAGAGATGTTGCTTCTCTTTGCGTATTTTATCGCATCTATCATGGGGAGTGCTCTGAGGAATTGTTCGGATTAATCCCAGCTGCCAAATTTCGTGAACGCACTACACGTCAAACGTCCCGATACCATCCACACCATCTGGATGCTTGGCGGTCCACCACTGTACGTTTCACAAGGAGTTTTCTTCCACGTACAACCTCTCTGTGGAATAGTTTACCACCGGCGATTTTTCCGGACCGATACGACCTGGGGACCTTCAAGAAAAGAGTCTTACTCCTTTCAAAAGGGCCGGCAACGCACCCGCAATTCTCCTGGTGTTGCGGTTGGTTGATCATGGGCGGCGGTAGTCACTTAACATCAGGTGAGCCGCATGCTCGTTTGCCCCTTCTTCTATATAAAAAAAAGCTAATCGTAGGAGCCGGCCAATATGTCCGGAACGCCATTACAAATAGTTAAAGCATTAGTATAATTGTACCATCCATCATGTAAATTAAAACTGGCAAAGTGCGAATAGGGCCTCACCATTTAAGGGTTCCATATGTATTATGACTTATATATTCTATGCTTACAAACTACGTAATAAATAAATGTTTTCAATATTAACTGTTTCAAAATAATGTGTCACACAATATACAAAGAAATTTCAAATTTCTAAATTATTCAGTTTTAACATAGACCGCTTCAAACCACTTAAAAAAGAGTCTAACTGACTTTAACTGTCTCTCTATAATTTTAAATCTGCTGTGTTTCGTTTGGCAAAGAATGTTACCTTTAAACGTGGCTTGACCGAGGAAAGACCACGCACTCACAGAATACCATCGTAAAATAGCAGCTTAATGCTGCTGTGTTTTGTATAGTGAACTTAAGAACTGGAGACTCTTTTTACTGGAAACGAGGCATTCCATCTTAGTCCTCACGGGTGAGAACGCATCTGCATTTTGATTTGTAATCGAGGATAGATGTAGATGTCTATGGGCCGCAGCAACCACTTACCACCTGTGCTCGTTTGTCACGCTATCGTATAAAAAAATTATCTAAGTTATTGAGGTCACTGCTCAAAATAAGGCCAAGTAATGCCACAAAAACGGCTCTGAGCCACGTGCAATTCATGCTGGATATAATGCTGGATATAACATCTTGGCTTTTGAAATGTGTTAATTAAAGATGTGCTTGATAATTCGGTCACATAATTTTTATGACATATTTAACAGTATTTTAATAAATTATAATACTTAGAAATGCATGACTTAGATTTATGTACTAACTTATATTGCATCCTGGTTAAGACA